GAGTTCTGGGAAGTCGAAGAGCACGAAGTGTGTGACTGTTGGTGAAAAACGAGCCCGGCACCCTGCCGCCCGGCAACTCCCCAACACCTGCCCGGACCCCCCTGTGGAGTGATCTGTGAGCTCTTTTGAGTCAACTAGAAACCTATCAGTCTACGCTGTTAGGTAAAATGGCCTCCAGACGGTCAAGATGACCTTCAAGATGCCCACGTGTTCCCCGAAGTCTTTCCAAACCGATTCGGGGAACACATGGTCCGATAGCTTGGCAGGTCTGGTCTCAACGTTCGGCCACATAGGCGCTTCCAAAAAGGCAGGGGGCGGCGGTGATTCGCCGTAGGCGTCTTCGATCCGCCGCCCACTGTCGATTCATCGCAGGGGTACCTGGCGTGCTGGACTTCTTACGGTTTGGTTTGGGTTCCTTTTCCGAAAGAACTCCCCCTGGCGCTTCGGCCCGTCCCGCCGGGGTCCCGGGAGTGAGCTCCAGGCGCGCAAACGACCTTAACGTCCACAAGAAAATCTCCAAGACGGCTCAAAATGGCCCCCAAGATGCCTCCAAGACGGCCCAGGATGCACTCAAGACAGCCTAAGATAGCCTCAATCTTGCCCAAGACGGTCGAAGAGGGCTCGAAGAGGCCTCCAAGACGGCCCAAGAGGCCTCCAAGAGGTCCTCCAGGAGGGCCCGAAGAGGCCAAAATCATTGGTGTTCCTTAGGCTTTTGAAGGATTTGGGCATTTGCTTCTTCTCGGCATTCCGACGGCTCAAGACGGCCCAAGAGGCCCCCGAAGATCGCCCCAAGATCGTCCACGAGGCCTCCAAGATGGCCCGAGACGGCCCAAGAGGCCCCCAAGACGGCCCCAAGAGGGCCCAAAGATGGCCCAAGAGTCCTCCAAGACGCCCATGATGGCCCACAAAGACGGCCCTGGGGCACCCCAGGAGCGCCCCAAGTCGGCCCAAAGAGGCCCACCAAGCGGCTTCCGACGGCGTCAGACGGGCCAGGAGCCCACCACGATGGCCGAAGTTGGCTCGAAGCTGGCCCAAGACGGCCCACGTGGCCTCCAAGAGGGCCTCCAGGAAGGCCAGAAGACGCCGAAAACATTGATGTTCCATAGGTGTTCGACGGATTTTGACATTTGCTTCTTTTCGGCCTTCCGACGGCCCTCCGACGGCCCAAGAGCCCCAACGATCGCCCAAGATCGCCCAAGAGGCCTCCAAGATGGCCCCAGAACGGCCCAAGAGGCCCCCAAGACGGTCCCAAGAGGCCCCCAAGACGGCCCAGGAGGCCTGTGATGGCCTCCAAGACGGCCCTGGAGCATTCCAAGAGGGCCCCAAGTCGGCCCAAGGAGGCCTCCCAAACGGCTTCCGACGGCATCAGACTGGCCAGGAGCCCACCAAGACGGCCGAACATGGCCCTAGAGGGCCTCCAGGAAGGCCCGAAAAGGCCAAAATCATTGATTTCCCAGAGGTTTTCAAAGGATTGTGACATTTGCTTCTTTTCGGCCTTCCGATGGCCCGAGATAGCCCAAGAGCCCCCAAAGATCGCCCAAGAGGTCTCCAATATGGCCCCTAAACGGCCCAAGAGGACCCCAATACGGCCCCAAGAGGCCCCCAAGACGGCCCAAGAGGCCTCCAAGACGCTCACGATAGCCTCCAAGACGGCCCTGGAGAACCCAAGAACGGCCCAAATCGGCCCAGCCTCGCCCACCGTGTTCCCCCAAAGCTTTCCAAACCGATTCGGGGAACACATGGTCCGATAGCTTGGCAGGCCTCTGGCCACAACGTTCGGCCACATAGGCGTTTCCAAAAAGGCAGGGGGCGGCGGTGATTCGCCGTAGGCGTCTTCGATAACGCCAACTTCTCACGATGCGCTGATAATTCCTGTCCGCCCCCGCGTGATGTTCCCAGATGCACCAAGGCAGCGCCGAGACGCACAGACGCGACTCTGATATGTCCCATTATGATAGAGAGGGGGCTGGCGGCAGGGGGCGAAGCCCTTACGGATAAATAGCAAATACCAAACTCAAACAGTCATGTAATAGTTCGAAACGTAGCCAGACACGAAAACCATTCGCAGCAGCTAGCTCCATGGTGCGGGGGTGGGATCGCCAGGATACATGTTTTGTACATACAAATCCCAGCTGAGACCCTGGCGAAGACGACCACGTGGCCGATTCCAGAAACCCTGAACCCAACAACGCTGTCATCTCCTGCTTGGACGCCGGACATGGGTACGGACAAACTGTGTACGAAGCCCAGCAACGAATGTAATCCCTGACCACAGCGGCAGCTGTTGGGCAAGCGGCCTTCTGTCTCAAACAGGCACAGGCCGGGGCGACACCGACAGCGAGTCCTGTGCAGAATGACAAAGAACTGCGGTCGATCGTTGTACCCATTCGTTCCGTACTCCAGATTTCGTAATAAAAGGGAGGGGGTCTGGACCCTCCAAGACAAGCCATTTCAGATCTCTCCCGTGGGAGAACCCTCCAAAACATCGTCCCCAGACCCCCCAGGCCCTCCAAGATAGCCTGGGAGAGACCCCCCCCGAAATGAGACCCCCCTCCCTTCATTACGAAATCTGGAGTACCCGCTTCGATCGTCCCGATCTCTGGGCGCATCCTGTACGTCCGCAGGCCTGCCGCCGGCGGGCCAGGTCCCCCCCCTTTCCTCCCGCCGTCGTCCGCCGACCCTCCGCCTCTCCTTCGACCCTCGGTCGCGAGGTCCTCGCTGGAACGCCTCACGTGCAGCAGCGTGGAGGGGAGCAGACGATGACAGAACACAACGGCTCTGAGGCCCGCGCAGATTTCTTGGATCGGCGCTGGACTCCCTCCTCAGTGGCGCCAGGCAGGTCGGAAGAAGGGAGACCTGCTCCCGATGGCGGTAGGAATTACGGAAGAAAGGATACGGATAGACACGTCTCTCACCCGCAACCACAGTCTGGCCATCGCTCGGACGTCCATTACCTGTGTTTTGTTTGGTTTCGTGCGTGTTTTTTTCGCCAGATGATCAAGGATGCTCCTCGATGGTCCTCGCAGAAAGAAAAATGTACACGTCCAAGCGATGCCAAGCTGTAGAGGGAGAGCAAACCGCATAGGAAGAGCAAACTGCATAGACATGAACATGTGGCGGTCCGCGCATATTATTTCTCTGATGCGTGCTGGACTCCCCTCCCTGGCGCGCGGAGCGCACCGAAGACGGCGCCGGAGGCGCCGCCAGGGGGGTGCGGCGCCGATCCCAGAAATCCGCGCGGACCTCCGAAGTGTTATGATTGTGTCACTGTTTGTCCCCCTACAACCAAAACCGATAGTCGACTACCTACCAGACCAACCCAACACAACCCGAAGACCCGAATTTCGGGTTGGGGGGGTAAGGGTTCCACACGTGTTTTGTTCGATGTTTCCCGACCCCCCACCCACTGGAAATCGAGGGCAAATCTAAGCCTTCGGGTTGGGTTGGGGTGGTTTGGTGGGTGGTGTGAATAGTAAGATAAACAGGGCTAGGATCGGGATAAATCGCTCCAGAGCGTTCGGGAGCGCTCTCAGAGCGTTCTGGAACGCTCTGGAGCGGCCGCGGCGCCCAATACATCCTCCAAACCAGCCGATTCTCAGAGATTTCGAGTTATCCCGATCAGATTTTGTCCCGATCTTCGCGTCGTTTTGGTAAGGACGCACGGTAAGGATGCAATGCCCTTGGACCTTCCACACTGGACACCTCCTGGCGCGGAGAACGGCAGAGGCTTCACGCAAGCGGGAGCCCTCCCGGGGGCCGCGAGCTACGTGCTCGACCACGGACCCCTCATTGCTCATCCAGCTCTGAAGGTGCCCTGGAACACACAAATAAATACACACAAATAAACATATTCCCCATATTTCTTATATCTTCTTGGTTTTTGTCTTCCCCCCCCACTTCCCATATTTTCCCATATTTTCTGGGGAATCGTCGATTAATTGTGTCTGTTTTTTTTTCCCTCCTGAAGCTCGAGCGGTCCTCGGCGGCCATCCAGCAGAGTCGGCGGCTTCCAGCGGACTTCGGCGGTGTCCCGTGGTCTTCGGCGACTTCCCGCGGTCGTCGGCGTGAAGGCTGGACGCTTGCAGATAGACAGGCCCATGATCGAACACCTGAAGCTTGTGCAGCTCCGCGTGGGAGCGCGAAGCGTGTGATGGGTGTGTCCGAGTGGACGTGGCGACACCATACGGACACCCTCCCAGGGGTCGCAAATGGTCCGAAGTTGCTAGAAGTGCCCCTGACCCAAGGTGCCCCGAGGATTTCTAAGGAGGCCCCCACGGCCTCCAGAGCACCCCTCACGAGGCCCAGATGGCCCCAGGGGCTCCAACATTGAGCGAACAGAAACACCTTGGGCCAGGGGCACCTTTAGCAACCCCCGATCCATGCGGACACCCTCCCGAAAGGTCGCAGATCCATGGTGCGCCCTGTGGGGCACGACCCGCGTGAGGGGTGTGCTGGAATCGGCGAGGCGACGCTAGGCCTGCGCCCTCCCTGGGCCCCCTGTGGAGCTCGCCGAAATTCGCGGGCTGGCGCTGTGCGCGCGCCTTCCCTGGGGCCGAAGTTGGGGCGCGAACCGTGTGAGGGTGCGCCGAAATGGGCGCGGCGCCGCCCTGCGGGAAGGGGCCCCAGGACACGCAAATAAATACACACAAACATATTGCATTTTTAATACATGATCCGAACGCGGAGCATGTATTGAAAACGGCACTGTATGTGCCATGGTCCCTGGGAAGGGATGGCCGACGTGGGCGCGGCGCTGCGGCGAAGGGAGGGGGACGAGGAAGAAGGGAGGCGTGGGAGGCGAAAAGGGAAGAGGGAGGCGGGAGGCGGTGGGGCCCGGCGTTGCGGACCGAATCCGCCCAGCCCAAAGACACCTCCAAAGGACGAGGACGACGACGGCCCGGAACCTCCGAAAACTCATGAAGACGACGACGACGACGAGGACGAGGACGACGACGACGGGCGGAGCGGCGACCAGAGGAGCGCATGGGCGGGGCGGGCGCCCTCGGCGGGGGCTCTCTGCTCGTCGCGTGCGGCTGGGGCATGGGCTCCCCGAAGAAGGCCGGCCGCAGGGCGCGCTGGCCGGGGGCGGGCGTGGGGGCGGGGGCCGCCGGGATGTTCGACGAAAAATAAAACACATAGCCAAAACATACAACAAAAACAAATCGAGAAGAATCGGCGAGTCGTCCCCACACAAAAGTTGTACTATTTTTGAACATGCCTCCTGCAGGGGGACGTGCATGCCCGCCTCAAGCCTGGAGCCAAGGAAACCAGAGGGAGGGCCCCGCAAGGGCGGGCCTCCTCTTGGAGCAAGGCGCTGTCCTAAGAACAGCTGTCGCAGAAACACCTTACGAGCCGCCCTCTCGTATCACAAAAGGAACTGAATCGCAAGAACATGCAATTTCTCCCAGACCGCTCCCGGGGTCCAAACGCACCAATTTTCCGCGTTGCGTCCAGCAGTGTCTCAAGCGGCCCTCCTCGGATCCTCCTTCTACGGGCAAGACCTGTGTCCCTAGGCATTCCGAGATGATGAAATCCTTCGGGATCTTTGCAAATCGTAAGGATGCGCGGGCTTTCCTAAGGATTTCGCTCGGGACCCAAACGCGCAGGGCGCTCGATTTGCGCAAGAAGTCTTAAGGATTCGCTGGGGTTTCCCAAGGATTCCCAGGGATTCCTGAGGATTCCTAGGGATTCAAAAGGATCCGTAGGGATGTCTAAGAATTCCTAAGGATTCGTAGGGATTCTTAGAGATTCCTAGAGATACCGAGGTCGTGAAATCCTTGGGAATCCTTGCAATTCGTAAGGAATTGCAGGGCTTCCTAAGGATTCCTAAGCATTTCCCTAGGGACCCGGACGCGCAGGGCGTTCGGGACTTGGACGCGCAGGGCATGCGGCCCGTACTGTCAGGTCGTTACCTAGTAGTAGTAGTAGTAGTACTAGAAGTAGTAGTAGTAGTAGTAGTAGTAGTAGTAGTAGTAGTAGTAGTAGTAGTAGTAGTAGTAGTAGTAGTAGTAGTAGTAGTAGTAGTAGTAGTAGTAGTAGTAGTAGTAGTAGTAGTAGTAGTAGTAGTAGTAGTAGTAGTAGTAGTAGTAGTAGTAGTAGTAGTAGTAGTAGTAGTAGTAGTAGTAGTAGTAGTAGTAGTAGTAGTAGTAGTAGTAGTAGTAGTAGTAGTAGTAGTAGTAGTAGTAGTAGTAGTAAGTAGTAGTAGTAGTAGTAGTAGTAGTAGTAGTAGTAGTAGTAGTAGTAGTAGTAGTAGTAGTCGTAGTAGTAGTCGCAGTAGTAGTAGTAGTCGTCGTCGTCGTAGTAGTAGTAGTAGTAGTAGTAGTAGTAGTAGTAGTAGTAGTAGTAGTATAGTAGTAGTAGTATAGTAGTAGTATAGTATAGTAGGTAAGTAGTAGTAGTAGTAGAAGTAGTAGTAGTAGTAGTAGTAGTAGTAGTAGTAGTAGTAGTAGTAGTAGTAAGTAGTAGTAGTAGTAAGTAGTAGTAGTAGTAGTAGTAGTAGTAGTAGTAGTCGTCGTAGTCGTAGTAGTAGTAGTAGTAGTAGTAGTAGTAGTAGTAGTAGTAGTAGTAGTCGTAGTAGTAGTAGTAGTAGAAGGAGTAGTATCCAGGGATACCGAGGTCGTGAAATCCTGAGGAATCCTTGCAATGCGTAAGGATTTGCAGGGCTTCCTAAGGATTCCTAAGGATTTAACTAGGGACCCGGACGCGCAGGGCGTTCGGGACTTGGACGCGCAGGGCGTGCGGCCCGTACTGTCAGGTCGTTACCTAGTAGTAGTGGTAGAAGTAGTAGTAGTAGTAGTAGTAGTAGTAGTAGTAGTAGCAGAAGAAGTAGAAGTAGAAGAAGTAGTAGTAGTAGTAGTAGTAGTAGTAGTAGTAGAAGTAGTAGTAGTAGTAGTAGTAGTAGTAGTAGTAGTAGTAGTAGTAGTACTAGAAGTAGTAGTAGTAGTATTCGTAGTAGTAATCGTAGTAGCAGCAGCAGCAGCAGCAGCAGCAGCAGCAGTAGTAGTAGTAGTAGTAGTAGTAGTAGTAGTAGTAGTAGTAGTAGTAGTAGTAGTAGTAGCAGTAGTAGTAGTAGTAGTAGTAGTAGTAGTAGTAGTAGTAGTAGTAATAGTAGCAGTAGTAGTAGTAGTAGTAGTAGTAGTAGTAGTTGTAGTAGTAGTAGTAGCAGTAGTAGTAGTAGTAGTAGTAGTAGTAGCGAACATGTCCCTGAGGCCGATGTTGCAAATCGCGGCCTGATGTTGCTTATCAATCTTCCATGCCGTGATCACTGAATCCTCAAACCCTGCTGACCGCTGGTCCTCCAAAGTGTTTTCACACGTTGGGGGGAGCGCGGGACTGCCTCATGTCCCCTCCCACTGAAGATGTTGGCCGAGTGTCCTTCGGCCTCCAGAGGCTCCAACAGGGCCCCACAGAGCCGAATGATGGCCTCCGGGGTTCTCAAGACTGTTCCAAAATTGTCCCAACATGCCAAGAGCCCGCACACACGCTTGCCCGTCCGCCCGCCCGCTCGCCCGCTTGCCCGCCCACCCGCCCGCGCTCGAACCCATCCGCCCGCTCGACGACGACAGCGACGCCGACGCGAACACAGTCGTGGACGAAGACGACGGCACCACGACGCCAACGAGGACGAGAACGATGAGGACGACGACGACGACGGGAGATAATTTCCGAAGCCGGTCCTCCTTGACGATAGGGGGGCGGGGTCGATCCTCTAGATGTATGCGGAAGACAATCAGTTGGCATACATTTTTGTTCGGGCGGTTTTCTTGACAGAATGGGCCCCCCCGTAGTAAAGGAAAACCTATTGATCCGTGGCATCCGCGGAGCAACGCCTTCAGGAGAATGTGTCGATCTATGCTGCGATCTCCTTATGCAAGTCCTTACACCTCTGCCGCACAGGTTAACCCAAGGATCCTCACTTGCTGGGGGAACCCCCCTCCCAACATTATCCAGCCAGGCGAACACGAATGGGAAAACAAGCTACGCCGCGACGAAGACGATGACGACGACGCCGCCGACGACGACAACAACGACTAGGTTTACGACCAAAATCGCGATTGGACTCGCAATTACAACCACGACCACAATCACAACTACAACAACAACCGCCGATTACGATTGCCATCCCCGTGACAAAATGCTCACGGATCCTCTCGCTTGTAGGGTAGCCCACAACATCTTCCCCGGGAGGAAATATCCGCCGCGGCGACGACGACGAGGAGGATCAGAGGAGGAGGAAGAAGAGAAGGAATATGGGGAGAAGAGGAGGAGGGAGAGGAGGAGGAGGACGAGGAGGAGGAGGGGGAGGAGGAGTAGGAGGAGAGAGGAGGAGGAGGAGAGAGGAGGATGAGGAGAAGGAAGAGGAGGGGGGGGAAGAGGAGGAGGAGGGGGAGGAGGAGGAGGAGGTGCGAGGCTAGTTCCCCGCCGAATAACTTTGGGGGACCCGGTTCAATCTGGAGTCCCGCTTCGAGCCTTCCGAACGCCACGGGGCGCGCTACCAAACGTGCTCTTCTCTGTCAAAATATCCAGCCTGAAACAGCCCTCGGCGGAACGGCCAAAGAGCGCCCGGTCTGAAACACCTGCCGGTCGAACGGGCAAAACTGCCCCCGCCGCGGCAATCCGGCTCGTCCGCGTCGTCGTCGCCCCCGCCGCCGCCAGTCTCAAGCAGAAACCAGCAGAGATGCCAGCGCCGTCCACCCCCTCCGCGTCGTCGCCGTCGTCGTCGCCGCCGCCCGCGCCTGGCCGTCGGCATCGCCTGGCCGCTGTCGTCGCCGTCGACATCGCCGCCGCAGTCGTGGGCTCGCGCCCGGGGGGCGGGGCGGGGCCCTCCTCTGCGAGGCGTCGCCGTCGCTGTCGTCGCCGACGTCGCCCCCGTCGCCGTCGTCGCCGCCGCCGCCGTCGTGGCCGCGTCGTCGTCGGCCCTGCTAACGCCGCCCGGAGCGGCCTCTTCTCTGAAGGCCGCGAAGGCCAGCAACGCGACCAGCGTGCCGCGCCGCGCGGTGCGCCGCAGCCTCGCGCGGGTCCTCTCAGGGGGGGGATCGGCGGGCACTGCCCCACCTCCAAATCCGACTCTTGCCCCTCGCCTCCTCCCCGTCGTCGTTGTGATCCTGGCCCTCGTCCTTGTCTTCCTCCTCATCCTCTTTCTCCTCCTCCTCCTCCTCGACTTCTTCCTCCTATTCCTCCTCTTTTTCCGATGCCGTCGAACGGCACGCTTCAGTCCTTAGGGCATGGCCAACCACGCGTTACACCATAGCAAGCCACCAGGATTCGATAAAACCGTGATCTTGATACTGCAAGTCGCACAGACTTGTACACATACATACAGCACAAGTGCAGGATGCATTGCTGTTCAAAGTATGCTGAAACGAAAACTTTGTCCCCGAGACACCCCCGCACAGCATCGGCCAGGCTGGGGGCACTCATCGGTCAAAGAGCCCCGGAGATGCACTCTGCATCTCCAAACTCCGCTCGTGCGTTTCCAATTGATGCTCAGGCCGACCCCAGATGCCTGAGGAGGAGGAGGATGAAGAGGAGGAGGAAGAGGAGGAGGAGGAAGAGGAGGAGGAGGATGAGGAGGAGAAGGAGGAACGCGCACCTCACCCAAGAACTCCACGCGAGGCCAGGAGGAGAAGGACGGCGGAACCAACGGAAAGCACTGCCTTCGGAACTGTAATTGTCCAGCTGAGCTCATCCAAGAGCGTCGAATCAAAACTCGGGTGACGCTGGGCGTCCCTCTTGGCCCCCGCGTCAGCCAGATCGTTTCCGACGCGGCGAAAACGCTTCCCCGAGAAATCCCAGCCTCCCAAGGGTCTCTATGCGCATCGGCTTTTACAAGAGATCGCGGCCCACCCGAACCGAAGGCTAGCCCTTGGAGCAAAAGACCAGCATGCGCATGCCTGGGAGAGATGCAGGAGTCAAGACATTGGGAATACTATGATTTTACATTGCTACAATCATTCTAAGCCGCTGCCTCGCCGGCTGAACAAACCCCATCCCCCAAAATGATGAATGCCCCGCAGCGTAGGGTGACTGAACATATGCAGACCAAACGGGGGCAGAAACTTCACGCGACGCTCGGGCCTGGGGGTCGACCGTCGAAACGCGCAACGCACTACGAGAGAGTTCAGCAACATGGTGTCAAATGCAGAACCTGTCAACAAAAAGACCCCCACATGTCCGATTGAGGAGGAGCGGCAGTGGGCTTCGAAAACCCAGGACGCACAATCACCGAAACTTGCCACTTGATCACTACATCACAACTGGAGCCAGTCCTTGGAAAATAATCCCCTGAATATCAAGAAAGCCCCATGCATCCAACGGCTCCACCAATAGTCCTCACCACCAGTGGTAACAGCAGCATCACTGACACTGCGGTCAACGACTACATGTCGCACATCTGCACAAGACGGACATTCCCACGATCGATGCTGGGTCGTGTCGTGTGAGGACATTCATCGGTCGCACAAGTCATCCACCTGGTAGCCCGCCAACTTACCCAGAGGGTAAACCATGCACATTTTATGCGTTATTGATTTCCAATGAAAAAATGAATGATTTCATGCCGTGCTTTTTTTTTGCGCCGCTGCTTTTTTAAAAAATGAATGGGCACGCCGCAGAAAAATGCATGAACGCGCGGCAAAATTTTGCATGGTTGCACGCAGACGTTGGCAATGGAAATATGAACGACTTCCCGTGTCTAGCGCGCGACCCAACGCTGCGAGAAAACATCCATGGCCTCACTCGCCTGATCTCTCGCTTGGCACTCTCGTGGCGAAGGGGCGCGCGTGTTCATTTAAGCGTTGCTTTGCGGGTGCGTTGCTGGGGCTTTGCGGGAACTTTGTAGGGATTTTGTTGGGACTTTACAGGGACTTTGCGGGGACTTTGCAGGGACCTTGCAGGGACTTTGCAGGGACTTTGCAGGGACTTTGCAGGGACTTTGCAGGGACTTTGCGGGGACCTTGCAGGGACTTCGCGGGGACTTTGCAGGGGCTTTGCAGAGGCTTTGCAGGGACTTTGCGGGGACCTTGCAGGGACTTCGCAGGGACTTCGCAGGGACTTTGCAGGGACTTTGCAGGGACTTTGCGGGGACCTTGCAGGGACTTTGCGGGGACTTTGTGGGGACCTTGCGGGGACTTTGCGGGGACTTTTTTGAGCTTTGCAAAGACTTTGTGGGGACCTTGCAGGGACTTTGCGGAGACTTTGCAGGGGCTTTGCAGGGACTTTGCAGGGACTTTGCGGGGACCTTGCAGGGACTTTGCGGGGACTTTGCGGGGACTTTGCGGGGACTTTGCGGGGACTTTTTTGAGCTTTGCAGGGACTTTGCAGGGACTTTGCAGGGACCTTGCAAGGATTTTGCGGGGACTTTGTGGGGACCTTGCGGGGACTTTGCGGGGAATTTGCAGGGGTTTTGCACGGACTTTGTAGGGACCTTGCAGGGACTTTGCGGGTACTTTGTGGGGACCTTGCGGGGACGTTGCGGGGACTTTGCGGAGGTTTTGCAAGGTTTTTACAGGAACTTTGCAAGGTCTTTGCGGGGACTGTGCGAAAGCTGGGCCGACCTCCCCGGCATGCAAATGTGGATTCGCTGCGTTGCTGTTTCCGCAGGCGTTTTGGGGCAAGATGTCATCTCCCGCGGGGCAGCAGCCCGCGTCCGTCAAACGGAAACCGTCTGGTGTTGATTCCACTAATTACGATGCGATTGCCGAATGCATCACACAGCATATAATCACACCAAATACTATCAGGTATGGTGAGAAATGCAGGGAGTCTGCTTTGAGAAAGGATGTTCTTCTTACGCACGTCAGCATGTTGAGAGACCTGGCTCTGATTTACAAGAAGTTCAAGGTTCCCAAAAAAGACTTGCAGGTGGCCCTGGAGAAGACCTGTGACGACAATTTCAAGGATGCGAAGTACTCAAAAGGGGGTGCACTCCGAGGAGAATGGGTCAGAACTACTGGTTTGCGTATTGCTACGATGATGCAGCACGCGACTTCAGCGTGGAGAGATGACCGCAAATGGTTTACCAAAGCGGTGGGCGTGCTGGATGATGCGTTGATGGACCTCAAAAAGAAAACGATTGACGACGACGAGGAGAGCGAGCAGGACGACTTCGGCGAGGAAGAGGAGAACGGGGAGGAGGAGGAGAAGGTGCACGACGAGATAGTCGACCCAGGGCCCGAGGACCACTGGAACAAATACCTGCCCCACACCTTCTGCGCGCCCCGGGGGAAGAGAGGGCACTGCAGGTGTTGGCTTGGTTCGGGGACCGCCCGATCGATATGCAGGGAATCTCGCAGCCTTCGGAGGTGCTCGATTGGGCCTTCCTGGTGCCTGCATTCCCGAGGCCTTCGGAAGTTTTCGATTGGTTCTCCGCTCCTCCTCCAACTCATCCTTCCACCCACTCCTCATCTTCCTCCTCATCCCTCTCCTCTTTCTGTGGCCCTGTGCTGACCATCGTAGGCCCCCGCCCGCCCGCAGGAGCCTCGCAGGAAACCAGCGGCGTCCAACCCTGCCGAGCTGTATGAGTTTGGCTACGAGCGGGAGCATCAACGTGCTTGGCGCAAGGCCAAGTCGGCGAACAAAACAGACCCCCGCGATTACGCCGAGAGCATGCACGCACCTGATGAGCAACCAACGTCCTACATGGTAGCGACATGGAACGACGGCATGACGAGACAATTGACAGAGGATGTAAAGGGACAAACCTCACCGTCACCTCCTTCAGATCTGCCTCCTGGTATCTCCCGCCTCCTCCTCTGACTCCTCCTCTTCTCCCTCCTCATCCAGATCCTCGTCCTCCACCTCCTTGTGGGAGAGGGGCCATGCGTGACCCTAGAGATCTGACAGGCCGCATCTAATAAGCCTTGCTGCCCCTGCCCATGCCCTGGGGGAGCCACGGATTCATGTTTCCCCGATCCCCCAGGTTACAGTGGGCGCGTGGACCCGCGGCCAACCTGCTCCAGCCATGAAGGGCCCTTCAAAGAAGGTCTCCAGATTCTTCAAGGATGAGGAGAAACAGATATGGACTTGCGCGAGATGGGACGCCCCGAAAGGGAAACCAAAACAACGGCTCATTTGTTTAAATCACCGGACAGCTCGCCCCTTGGCCCCCCGCCAGCCCCACGCCAAGGGGCGAGCATATATACGGGCGCAGCACCTCGCTGGAGGCGTAGCCGTCGGCTGGGCCGACCATACAGATGATGCATCGCGTGGCGGCTGGATGCCCGCGCCGAGCACAGAGCTCTTCTCGGTTCCTCCCTCCTCTTCCTCCTCCTCCTCCTCTTCCACCTCCTCCTCCTCCTTCGACTCCTCCACTTCCACCTCCTCCTCCCTTCTGCCGCCTCCTCATCCCGTCCGCGTCCTCCGCCCTCGAGCTGATCTCCCCCCCCCCGTCGTCCATTTTCAATGAAATCCTCCTCCCGCCGCCTCTTGCCTCGTCCGCCCGAGATATCCTCACCCGCTTGCTTAAACCTGCCACCCGAAATATCCTCACCCGCTGGCTTAAAACTGCCACCCGAAATATCCTCATCCGAAATATCTTCACCCGCTGGCTTAAAACTGCCACGCGAGATATCCTCACCCGCTGGCTTAAACCTGCCACCCGAAATATCCTCACCCGCTGGCGTAAAACTGCCACCGAAATATCCTCACCCGAGATATCCTCACCCGCTGGCTTAAAACTGCCACCGAAACATCCTCACCCGCTGGCGCTTAAAACTGCCACCGAAATATCCTCACCCGCTGGCTTAAAACTGCCACCGAAATATGCTCACCAGCTGGCTTAAAACTGCCACCCGAAATATCCCCACCCGCTGGCTTAAAACTGCCACCCAAATACTCTCACCCGCTGGCTTAAAACTGCCACCCGAGATATCCTCACCCGCTGGCTTAAAACTGCCACCCGAGATATCCTCACCCGCTGGCTTAAACCTGCCACCCGAAATATCCTCACCCGCTGGATTAAAACAGCCACCCGAAATATCCTCATCCGAAATATCTTCACCCGCTGGCTTAAAACTGCCAC